ATAAAAATAAGATTTACATTCTTCCTGATTATAAATGTAATGAAGATTTTGACAAAGCTGCTGATGAATATAAAAACAATACTTCAAAAAATAAATGATGAATAGCAGGTATAACTTTAATTTTAGGTTTTACAATTGCTATTATTTGTGTTGTCAAAAGGATTAAAAAGAAAAATAGATAAGTATGTAATAATAAGATTCATTCCATGTTATTTTTCTTCTTCCAAAGATTTTTGCTTTTGTTAGGTAATAGTACACTTTCATTCTGCACTCTTTTCATAATGTTTATTATTTTTCTTTCTTGGTAAATTTCATAAGTAATTCTTACTTTTTTTAGATAAGCTTCAAGTGTCTAAGTATTGTTTATTTTGAAAACATAAGGAGCAATTTTTCACCTTGTTCCTTTTTTAAAATACTTCTGATAATACTATAATTTTTGGGTTCCATAGTAGATCTGATGTAAATTAATTTCATATTATTATTTTTATATAGGGATAGTTATATATATCACTTAAGAAAAAACAAAGATACACAAATATGAAATTATAAATCATATTAATATTGATGATAACTAAATTTTTGATCCCTGACATTATTGGCAATACCAATGTTCACTTTGTCTGGTTTTGTTGCAGTATGCCCCATTTAAACATTCCATTTGGAAGAACAAATTCATGTTTCTTTAAAGTGAACAAATGGCTTTAAATTCTTAGAATTTTTGAATTAAATAAATTATGTTTAGTCAACACTTTAGGTAATTCTATGGGATAATGATTCATTTAAATTGGACTGGTTTTAATATTAGTATTACAATAATAATAATTAATAATAATTTCCGATTTTTGTCATGTACAACTTTTTGCAAATCATTTCTGATTTATTTGCTAACTTCACAACATGCTTTATATTTTTAGATGGTTCAAAATCAAACTGAAACAGCCCTCTAGAATCTTTTAATTCATACAAATTTTAGGATGTCTGTGTGACCGTTTGATAAATACACTTACCACACCTACCAATTCCAACCCAGAACCCCCGTGATTGGTAGAAAATAAGGGAATCTTATCTTAAAAAAACCTTGTCGTGCAACCGAGGTGTGGAAGAGTTTTCCCGTTTGATAAATTTTGTTTCCAGAAAATTCTAAGATTTAAAAATCTTGCAATTTTTGGTAATACTATATTTGAAAATTTACTTCTTCAAACTGACAAATCATCATTTAAATTATGCATCTTTTTTTAAATAGATTGCTAAATTTTTAGATTCGTTAATATTAATTAGACTTGATTTTATGACATTTAAAATATATATAGTTGGCTTGGTCTAAAGACCTCCTAAATTTTGGGCAAATTTTAAAAGTATAGAAGTCACTTTCTGTCCTACCTTTTAAAAAAATAGCTCTATTAATTGATAGAATATGACTTTACTTTTAATGTAGTAGAGATTTTCTCAAAAAAATTATTTTGTTGTAGAGTTCTATTCTTTTTTAAAACATGTACTTTATTATGCTCGCGAGGAATTTGTCATTTCTAAATTTAGGAAAAATCATTACCAAATTTAGATTAGCTCTTTACTATCGTATCTAAATTTGGCAGTACTGCAGTAAGAAAACTAAAATCACGTGAAGTTTGAAATTTGGCCGCATGACGCAACAATAGGAGGTCTTTAGACCGAGCCAACCATAGTAAAACACTTAATGAGCAATCTGCATTTAAATAAGGGGATTTTTCAAAAAATTTAATTTAATTTCATTAGGTTCAATCATCCCTCGTTTACATTTAAAAGCAGATTGGAGAAGAAACTTCAAAAGATATATATTATATAATCTAAGTAAACGTTTGTTTTTCTTATATCCCCTATGAAAATTTGCATAGAAATTCATTCCAAGGTGAAGTGTTGAACAATGCACCATCCATACCAACTGTAATGCGCGAAACGAAAAAAGTCATATAATGATACCTGGGAATTAAGATGAAACAGTTAAAAAAATGAATATAGGTACAGTTCATTCTCTATAACGGATCTTTCTGTAACGGATCTTGTTCTGTAACGGACTGAAATTTAATATTAAGCCCAATTTATATGTCCATATATAAATTATTATTATAATGGATTCGCTCTAACGGACATTTTTTCCTAGCCAAGCGGTCCATTATAGGGAAAGTGAACTGTAAATTGGAAAAAGAATTAATTATAATAAATATTTCTAGATGTCAAATTAATGAAATTTAAAATTTTCATATAGAATGAATCACTTTGAACTGGCTTAGGCTCTTTGTGAAAAGAAATTTTGTGGAAGTTGGCGCATGTCCGAGCAAGTAAATAACTTCTAAGAGCCCAGAAATGTAGATAAGAAAAATAGACTCACTGTTGAAGCAATTCTCCAGATCTAAAACAAAGAGTAGAAGTTATCAAAAATATAGAAAACTGGATAACGCGTTTTAGTAGAGAACATGAAAAAGAATTAGCCTAGAAAGAGTTGGACATTATTATGCCATAAAAACATACGAACCAATGAACATGATTTTTAGTTTGTCAATAATCCCCAATCAAGATTGAAATAGTTACAAAAATGGCTAGGATAAAGGGGAATATTTTTTTGATAAAAATGTTCATAACAGTCTATTTATTTGACATTAAAATGTTTGTTATAATAGGAAAATAAAGCGAACTATCACAAATGCACCCTGTCGACCACACACACTCCTTTCACGAATTATCTTTAAATTTTACCCCCCTTAATGATTTTAAGCAGCCTTCTGTATTTGAACGACCTTATAGTAATGTTACAAATAAGTAAAAGAGAAATTGCAAATAAAGACAACGAAAAGTGAACCGGATAAAGATGATGTTTCAATATATATATACATATATAAAAATACATACAGTATATGTTTTTATTTTTTTTAAAAAAATTTTTTTTTTTGAATCTCAAATATCATTTTCATATTAGGAAGTGATACCCTCAGGAGTTTTATCAGCCAAAGGGATAATTAATTATCTTTGAAGAGTAATTTTATTTATTAATAATAATGTATGAAGCAATGTTTTGTAAATTTTGTGTCATTATTCATATTTGGCTGATCTGTTTCATCTGTTTTCACGGTATCACGATAATTTCAGCCATCTCATCTTTCATCATGATTTTCCTTGAGTATATTTTTAAAATAACATTATATTATGGTATAGTAAACTTTCTTTATTAAAAATTAATGATAAAACAATATATGATAATGAAGATATCTCTTATTTCCTGGAGTAACGATAAAAGACCAATTGGATCTAAGTGTGTATCTGATTGACATTTTTTATAACCTTTGCAAGTTTTAATACATCAATTTTATCGGCTATTAGTTCTGATGCTGCAGTTTGTAAGTATTGCTCGTGAGTTTGTTTACGAGAACCTAGATGAGCTTTACTTATGATATATTAGGTTCAGATTTTAGAGAATCCAATGAATATTGTTCTATTTTTTTCTCTTCTAATTAGAGCTTGGAATAATGGCTTTGTAAATGTCGCTCTGATAATACATATACCTCCCATTCAGTAAAAAGACTTTTGGGTCCTTTGGTCTTGGTTTTTTTTTTAGAAAAAAAAAATAATTGATTATCGGCAGAAGAGAAAACAACTAATTGCTATTATTATGGGAAAAATCTCGTATAAATTTTTGTTTGCATAGACACAAAAAGGAAGAGGTTACTATTTTGCCGCCATGGATTAAATATTCAAGTAATAAGAACGTTATACATTTCATATAAAGAAGAAAAAAGGTATACATCCGATAAGTTTAAAAAATTATAAATAAAATTTTTATTTCAACAAACCAAAATTCTTCAATTAACCAAAGAATTCCCTGGTATTTCGACTTCAAATTTTTCGCACCCTGAAAGAAGGTAAAGTCATTCATTTACTACAAAATTCGAAAAAACATCACGTCCGTGAAATATAATAATAAAATACTTAATATGGGAAACAGGCTTACAATTTTGTTACACGAACAATTTAATAAAACAGTCAAAGCTGAAAATGGAAGCCTTGATTTTCCGATTAATTATTATTATTAATCTTTACAACATCTGCATATTTAAATATGTTACATAATCAATCATTAAAAATCGAGTGTAACATTGTTATTATTATTATCAAAAAAAAATGTCTTTAAAAATTTTAATAGGCAGTTATAATGTAAATAAAACTCTGATTAATCAAGATTTATCAAATTGGTTATTTTCTTTGTGGAATTCATCTGTTGACACCACTAATGTCTTCTCTTCTAATATACCCGACATAATAGTAATAGGTTTTCAAGAGTTAGTTCCTTTTCCCGATGCATTTTTTGGTGTTGATAAAGATCTTTTAGATCATTATTCACACCTTATAGAGCGAGCAATAGTTAATTGCAATAAAGAAAGTTATACACAAGTAGTTAAAACTTCTTTTGTGGGACTGGCTTTATTCATCTATTTTCGAGATTTGACAGCTGTCACTTTGATTCGTTCTGTTGATGTGGAGGAGGTGGGAGTTGGACCGTTATGGATTGGGAATAAGGGAGCTTTGGCAGCCAGAATAATTATTAATAGTGGTGGAGATGGCGACGAGAAGGATATTTCATTATGTTTTGTATGTGCACATTTGGCGCCACATGATTATAATATATCAGCAAGGAATGCGGATTTTAAAAGCATATGTGAAAGACTTGTTTTTAAAAATAGAGATGTTGATTCGGAAAGGATTATTATGGAAAATAATCAAGACGAAACATCAGAAACACCATTATTACTACAAAGCAAAATAAAAAACAATAAAAACAATAACAATAATGAGTTTTGTGGAATTTATGATACAGACTATTTATTTTTTTTTGGTGATTTAAATTATAGAATAAGCACTACTACTATTTATCATCAACAACAATTACTAGAACTACCTACACATTCAAAAGTAATAGAACATATAGAAGCACAACAACTTGATCAGATTAAACCGTTTGATCAATTGACCATTGAAAAATTAAATAATCGAATTTTTCATGGTTTCGAGGAAGGTGACATCGATTTTCCACCGACATATAAATTTATTATTGGAAGCGATAACAAGTATGATATGAAACGAGTACCTGGATGGTGTGATAGAATTTTGTATTTTTGGCACCAAGAAAAAATAATAGGCGGAGGAATAGAGAATGAAGGAGGAGGAGAAGCTGGAAGATTAGCGTTTAAAGAAGGAAGTAACCATTTGTCCAAGAAGAATGAGAATGAGAATAGTAATAGTAATAAGGAAGAACCTATTATTAAATTAGAATATTATAATTCTAATAGAAATTATACATTTTCAGATCACAAGCCAATAATAGCATTATTTACTATAAAAACAATATTATCACCACCAGAGAAAAAGCAGCAGATTAGAAGAACGTCTTCATCACCATATGAATTTGATTCTTGGAAAATTTTTAAATCTAATTTTGGTAAAATATCTGCTAAAATTGTTGGATATGCTTGGTGGTTATTTGGAACTAGAAAGGGTACAATATTATATGTTACATTAAGCTTCATAATACTTATCAGTTGGTGGATGATTGAGAATTTACAATAAATTAACAAAGTTCTATAATTTACACAATATATATATAGTAATTTAATTTTTGACTTGCAAAGTTTTTTTCATCGTCATTATCATCTAATAATTTTTTGAAATCATCTTAAGCTCTTACAATTTTAATAACGTTTGATCATATTGATGAATTTCAAAATATATATTAGATCCAAATGGAGCATTCACCTTTATATAAATCAACTAATTGTAAATAAATAATAATCAATCTAGATTTATATTATATTTATATTCCTTTTTTACAAACCTAATGTAGTCTCAGTATGAGCAAATCATAAAACAGCTTTATTATTAAAATTTTTTTCAAAATCTGCATGCCTCAATAGATTACATCATCCACTAACTACTAACTACTGTCACTATCACTTATGTTATCATTATTATCAAACACACAAATATGGTAAATACGTTCACATCGACTTTTCCATTTAAGACAATGCATTCATTGACAATCCTAATTCCTTTACATACAAAATTAGAAAAAGTATTAAAAATTGATTATTCTAGGTAAACAAAGAAGTAAAAACTGGCTGTAATTTTGATAAACTCTGTGTCCCCATAACTTGTAAATAATCCAAACGAATAAACGATCACAGATTGCCCGCTTTTACATATAATAAATATTATATCGATAAAAAAAACTAAACTTGAAACTGATGAACTTTTGAAATTTTATAACAGTTGGAATTGTGTCAAAAACTTTTATATCTTGAACGAGCTCTTTTACCCAATAAATACAATTCTTTACATTTTGTCATCAATAAACCTATTTGCAAGTGATGATATGGATGATAATTCTAGTAAATTAATTAGATTTGTTAATTAATTAATGTTTATCCAATTTTGTTGCAATAAATCAAAATTTTAATATCATTCAATGTGTGTGTGTGTGTGTATATATATATATACATGCATAAAATAAAATTTCAACCTTTGACACTTGATGTTTTCTTATATCAAATATAATCATCAACAACATTATTATTCATTATAATCACTTGTTAATATTACTGTTATTTTTGTCTTGTTTAATATAATAACTCACGATAATAATAAGTCTCTTTGAGTTGTTAAAATCCAAAAAAACACGTGTGCTTCAAAATTTTAAAAGTGTAATTTGATTGGTTCAATTGAATTTCTGTTTCGACGTGTTTTTAAAACGTGATTTATTATTGTTTTCATGTATATTAATATATATTAATATTAATAATAATTCAACTCACAATTTCTTCTGCCTTTCTCTTCAAGAAAATTTAATATTTCGAATTTCTTCACCATCAATACGAAAATAAATACACTATCTTTCATATATATTATAATGTCAGACCTTTATACAAAGTTGGAGAAGCTTGGTGAAGGTGAATTATTTAACAAAATAAAAAATTTAAAGCGTCATAACATTTCTTTATTATTATTACTACAACTATATTATCAGTTGTAATCATTATTATGAATAAAATAAAGATTTTTTTTTGTTATTATTAAAGGAACTTACGGTGTTGTATATAGGGGAAAAGAAATAGCAACAGGAAAAATAGTTGCACTCAAACAAATTAGACTACACTTTGAGCAAGAAGGAGTTCCGCCAACGTCACTTCGTGAAATTTCATTGTTAAAAGAAGCTAAGGATCATCAAAATATGGTCAAGTAAGCTAAATCAATCAATAATAATAATATTACAAATTTCATTATATTAGACTATCAATGTTAGTCGTCAATTCATATACATGTATTTATTATATATATAGATTATTAGACATTGTCAATCAAGAAAAAAAGTTATTGTTGGTATTTGAATATCTTGCAAAGGATTTAAGAAAACATTTAAAAGAACTTAAAAAAGAAAACTCGGAAATGGATCTGTTTACAATTAAGGTATTATTGCTAGTACTATTATTATAATAATTAATTTGAAAGAAATTTAACTAATTAATAAATTATTACATATAGAAATTCATGTTTCAATTGGTTGACGGAGTTTTATATTTACATTCACGTCGAATTTTTCATCGTGATCTAAAACCTCAAAATTTATTGATTACTGCGGATGATAATTTGAAAATAGCTGATTTTGGTTTGGCAAGAGCAATCGGTGTTCCAATGAGGCCTTATACACATCAGGTATTATTTTATTTGATGAAATAAGTTGCACGCATATTTGGTTTTATTAAATCAATTTTCTAATGATAATAATATTATTAAAATCTAAAGGTAATAACATTATGGTATAGAGCTCCAGAGTTATTGCTTGGAGCATCACATTATAGTTATTCTGTTGATATGTGGAGTGTTGGCTGTGTTTTTGCTGAAATGTATAATCTAACGCCAATATTTGCAGGTGAATTATGAATCTGATCTGATAATAATTACATGAAGATTATTAGAATTATTACATTTCAAAATATATTAATATATATAATTTTTTAGGAGATTGTGAAATCGGTGAACTATTCAAAATCTTTATGTATCTATCTCTAATAATTTAATCGACTTTTTTTTCTTTTTTAAAAAATTTTATATGATTAAATCTAAATTTTTTTTTAATAAAAGGATACTCGGAACTCCAAATGAAAAAACTTGGCCAGAGCTCAGATTTTTTAACGATTATCAACAAGGTTTTCCACAATGGTGCCCACAGCCTTTAAATGAGTTAGTTCCTAGAATGGATCATTTTGCTATTGACTTACTTCAGGTTCGTTCAAAAAGGTTATTTATATTATTAATATATAATTTTTAAAAAAAAACTAACATGATATATATTATATATGATAAAAAGAAATTGTTTTTGTATGATACAAGAGAACGTATTTCAGCAAAACGTGCTATAGCACATTCATATTTTAATGAATTGAAATAAAGAGATTTTTTACAAAAAAAAAAAAAAAAAAAAAGATTTTTTTAAAATACTTGTAAAAATCTATGATTGCATTTTATTTATTATTATTACCTATAATATATATATCATATATATTCGTATAGAAGAAGGTAATTTAAAAAAAAATATTAAAATAAAATAAATATTCGCGCGTGTCACAAAATTTTTTCATTAACGATGTTCATTTCAAATTTTTTGTTCATATCACAATGTTTTACATATCACATTAAAAAATTTTTAAAGTTCAATTCTTGGTCGTATATACAATACATACATAAAAAAGAAATAAATAGACATATATTTTATATATATAAAAATAAATATATATAAATATTAATCAATAACAGTAATATGGTGGTCGATGATCTTACAAGTGGCTCAGACAGTGATTATACAAAATATTGGATTGATTGGTTTTTGTCTACAAAAGGAAATGAATATTTTTGTGAAGTTGATGAAGAGTATATACTTGATCGATTTAATCTAACAGGCCTGAACTCGGAAGTTCAACATTATGTCCAAGCACTTGACTTAATAACTGATTCTTTAGGTAAAAAAAATATATTTATTATAATATATATATACATTTAAAATTTACTGCACCTTGTAATTTTTTTGATCAAAAATAATTAGAATGTGTAATGTAATCTTTGAAAACGATTGAAAAAAAAAAAAAAAATCAAAAAAGATATATGTATATATATTTATTATATACATTGTCTGTTGTTTCAGAGGAAGAATTAGATGATGAAATGCGTGAAGCTGTTGAAAAATCTGCCCGACATTTATACGGTTTGATTCATGCTAGATTCATTATTACTAACCGAGGCTTAGGAAAAATGGTATTTATATACAATACATGTGTATATATATATATTTTTTAAATTTTTTTAAAATAATAATCATAATAATCATAAAATAATTGCTATATGTGTAGCTTGAAAAATACAAAAAAGCCGATTTTGGACGATGCCCACGAGTTCTTTGTCACAACCAACCACTCTTACCAGTTGGACTTTCAGATCAACCTTATACAAAATCGGTAAAACTATATTGTCCAAGATGTGAAGACATTTATAATCCAAAATCAACAAGACATGCAAGCATCGATGGCGCATATTATGGATCAACATTCCCTCATATGCTCTTCCAAGTTTATCCACATTTATTGCCACAAAAAACTAATGAACGATACATACCAAAGATTTTCGGATTTAAAATTCATGATATAGCAAAGCAACATCGCTGGCAAGATCAACAAAGAGAAGAACAATTAAGAAGGATCACTGTTGGAACCGAGGCAAATATTATTAATAATAATAATATTAATAATAGTAATCTTAGCAGTATTACTGCTACTAGTAGTATTAGTAATATTAATAATATCAATAATAACATCAATAATAATAACAATAATAATGTTAACAGCATTAACAGTATTAATAATCTTAATAATAATAGTAATGGTAATAGTAATATCCTTAACAATATCAACAACAACCCTAGCAGCAATGATCTAATTAATAGCCAAATCAACTAGTAATCAGCAATTATATAAAAAAAATTTTTAAAAAATTATATATATTATATTATATTAGCTGTTAGCACATGGAAACTTATTTATAATTCATTTATTTATGAATTTGTGTTTTTAAATTAAGAATCTATTTTTTTTTTATTTTTTAATAAATTATACTAAATAAGATGAATTTATAAAGATATATTATCCTCACTTATTCAGTGCACGCAATTTTTATTTTTATTTTTTTTTAAATAATGAACATTATAATATAGATATAAAAAAAAAATTTTTTTTGCAAATGCTGGGCTTTTAATAAAAAGATTCACTGCATGTGTGTTTTATCTAACAAGTAACAAAATAAAAATTTGAAATGATAACAAAAGATCTCTGATTGATTAGATGAAAAACAAAAAGAAAAACTTTACGAGTATGAAAAAAATCGTCAGTTGCAAAAAAATTGAAACCTATTATGCTTTACAGAACTGATAAATCAGAACTGCCCCATGTACACATACAGTTAAGTATACATCCGCTGCACACAAGGGTCCGTAAGTTAATGATTATGACCTAACAAATTCATTCCTTCCATTTTTACAATAAATATATAACTATTCCGTAACATTCCATAACATTCCGTTAACATTACTGTAAGGGACTTTTACACCTCAATCATATCTGTAGATATAGAGATGACCGAGACATATTGCATAACATGGGATCAAAAAAAAAAGATATAGGAATCATTTAACATACCTGGTTTGTTTTACCAATCAAGTGGTACATCTCCTTTTCAACTACTGGTATAACTGTTTTTTGCTGAAACATAATCAGAAGAAGAGGAGGAGAATGCACCAGTTCTATAAGCCACTACCATGTCAGAATAGAATAATACCGGTCTCATGGTTCACCAATGATCTGTTGACACATTTTAGAAAAGACCTGTTGCTTGCCAACACGATTATCCCGTGAAAACAAAGTGTGCAATAAAAAGATCAGAAGGTATGTATTAAAAAAATTTTTGAGTATGATTCAGGAAATTAGACTTGGTGGACGTAGGTAAAGCATTTTGTAAACCTTCGATACTTTGATTCTATACTGGATCAATTAGTTTGATCATTAATAAAATAAAACCATTAACTTGATCTAATAAATAGTAAAGACGTTAAAGGCTTACTTGATTAAATCATCATTTTATTTCCCTCTTATTTTTCACAAATCTGGCCATATCTCTATAATCCTTCGTCTCACAATTTCTCTATCATCAACAGCAACAAATAGATCTTTCCTCCCAGGATCAACTATTCCCCCTGTACTTTTCTTTTCATATTTGAAGATTGATATACTGGCACAAACCAACAAAAAATCTGGATCTATTATTCCAAATACCTGTTGATATCAAAAATCTGACTCCAATAATAATTGGCATCATCCCCATATTGTGTTTCCTTTATACTTCTTACAAGTTGATAACCAATTGATTTTATGATTTTTGGTATCAAGAGGCATATACGGTCAAACCTCAATAAACAAAGCCTCGTTAAACAAAAGCACCAACTAAAACTGAAGTTGGTTCAGAAAAAGTTATAGTAAATTACCCCTCCCCCCGATAAACCAAATTTACTTAATAAACTACCAATACTAATATAATACTAATAGTCCCGGTCTCGGCTTATTATACCTTGCATAAAAATTAAATTGAGTGACAATGTCAAAAATCCTCAACCTCTTGATATTATTTTCTTCAAATATTTTCAGAATTTTATATAACAAAAGAGGTGGTAAAGCAGTTAAAAAAAAATACACATGATACATAATTTTGGAAGTTGTATATGATAGAGTTCTTACTATTACTAAGTTTCATAAAAGATAAGATGTAAAATTTAGCCAATCATTTTTTTGTTTTAATTGACACAAAAAAATGATTGTCACGATTGTCTCTTTTTACGTCTACATATGTAAACTCGATAAGTCGGTCATGTGGGGGTGAGCTCATATGACCAACTTATCGAGTAAACCGACTTATTGAATTAAATTACTTAAATATTAAGAAAATGGGGTGAAAATTTTGGCCGACTTATTGAGTAAACCGACTTATCAAGTGACTGACTTATCGAGTTTACATATGTACAGTGTGTGTCACAATAAATCATTCATAAAATATTGGTTTACTTTAAATGTTGATAACTTTTAATTTTATGTAATAATAAAAATTTTAACAACATGAGTTGAAAGAAATAATCAAAAGCTAACTTTTAGCGTTGAGTTTTTTAAAATTGGTTTATTTTTGGGGGAGTAATAAGGAATTAAAATTAAAATTAATTATTTATACATATTTTTAAATTTGGCCACAAATTTTGGCCAAGATTATGACTTAACCTGGGCCAAAGGATGGAAACTTTTAAATTTTGCCTGCATTAATTTTTTTGGTTCCACGAAAGTTAATACGCGACACATTTATACTTGGACAGGACCTGTAAGAACAGTCCCAATTGCATTAGATTTGGTTCCATTAAATCAAATTTGTAAATTTGCAAGAAAATCCATGTGGTACATGGATTGTTATATAAAAGGTCTAAATTGCAAACAAGCTGAATATGTTGTCAAAAAAATATAAATCACATTGCAGCATCCCTAATTCAATACTCTCAGACTTGGAAATATTAAATTGATTTTAATAAATGTAATGTTTATTCTAAATAACTCTTTACCTAAATTTAATAAATAATAATATAATGGTTCTGATTTCATGCTCTCTAGGTAATATCCGGATCAGTCAACAATGTCTTTGATGTAGTTATAATTGAGACTGAATAAACTTCATAGACTTAATATTTTCAAGAGGAATAGCCTCATATAAAGTTAATTTGGATTTAATTGTCCCTTTGGTTATCAGAGTGGTATAGAACTCTGAGATTTTGATTATTGCTTTGGTATAAAACCAAGTTTAGTCTTTGCATAAGTTTTTGCAAAAGTGTTAAGCCATTTAGCAAAGTATAAAGTTATTAGTTAACCAAATATAAAGTGCTGACAGTTATTAACTAAAGTCGTTATCACATATTGTTATTGTACTGGGTTAAAGCATTGTTGTAAACATACGGCTGTTAAATAATAAATGTAGATAGAAAGAAACTTATAAAAAAGCTTTTGAACCTTGTAAAATAGCCATCTTTGCTTTATTTATTTACAGTTAACTGGCACTATTAACAGATTCGCGGATAAGAAAGGAGCAGCAAAATTAAATTCGTAAACTAATTAATTGACAAGTATCAAATTATTGTATTGCTTGCAATTGACTAACAAGAGTAGCCCAAAAGTTAAGCCATACATGTTAAATAATCAGAATCAACCAAAAAGCCACCATTTAACAAGAATTAAAAAACTGTAAAAGTTTATTATAAGAAATATTATAAGAAATTAAATAAAGATAAAATAAAAAGATGAATAATTATAACAATAAATTTATAGTGGGATTAAATTAATCAATATCTTTCCCTTTACTATTATTACTAGAATCTAATATTTATTAATTAATTAAAAAATATTGTTGGTAATAATGGATAGCAATTTCCCAATTAATTAATAATAATGAAAATTTTATTCACCTTCAACATTTAAGGAAAGAGAGTTGAAACCAAAATCATTTGATGAACTATCATTACTTGTATAGTAATAACTTTTGAAGCTTTTAGATTTAGTAATCTCTTCATCTAATACTCTACTTGTATAATATACATCTGGATGTGACTTGTGTGCTTGCTGTAAAACATTATTACTAATATCACTATTATTATTATCATCATTATTATTGAGAACTTTTTCCAATTTATTAGCAGCAAATCTAAAAATCCCTCGAATAGTTGGTCTTTTTGATGGATCCACATCCCAACACTTCTGCATAACTTGTGCATAATCATCAGGCATTCCTGGTAATATTGGTGGTCGTAAACCTTGTGCACATATATCAAAAATTAAATGATGATCATGAGCTCTGTCATCAAATGGTGGGTGACCTGCAAATATTTCCCACATTAACATCCCAACACTATAGATATCAGATTCTTTTGTGTTCTTTTTGCCTTGAAGTAGCTCAGGTGCAACATATGATATAATTCCATAGACTTTATCTGATGATTTTTCATCAACTGGACCACATAACCCCAAATCTGTAACATAACAATTACCTCCACTTATTAACACATTGCCACTGTGTAAATCACAATGGATTAAATCTTTTTGATGTATACGAAATAATGAATCACATAAATATCTAAAGATTGTAATTCTGTCTTTTAATGTTAAGTTTAAATGATTTTTTTTCAAATAATCCCTTAAATTTCCTTCTGGATGATAATTTAAAACCATTGCATAATTTCCACTATCTGGAAATTTAGTTATACCATAACAAGCAACTACCAACCCTGATTTAATTTTACAATAATTCATTGCCTGAAATTGAAAATAAAATCAATTAGTATTATATAATATAATATTGTTTATTTTTGTTTTAAATGACAACTACCAACCTCATCAAAAAAGCCTTTTCCTGGATTACTTGAATCATTTAAACTTTTTAATGCTACTTTTTGCTTTCCATAATAATTAAACTCTTTTTTATTTTCATTGTAATCATTAATAGTTCCTCTTGGCCATATAGCAGTATAAATTGAACTAAATCCACCTTTAGTCAAATTTGTTACCTTTTCAAATTGCTCAAAAGGTATCCATTCCAAAATATAGTCTGGCAGAGATGATTTTATTTGACATTGTTGAATAAAATCATCAACTATGTTATTTCCAGATGTCCAAGTGGTGAAAAGTCTCTGTAATTGTAAGCTAATGCAACTTTCACAGAATCTATCAGAGTATTTTGTTGATTTACACTTGTTACATTCTCTTGATTCACCTTCTTTATTTCTTGCATTTATTAATTCCAACTCATAAACAAACTTTTCTTTACAATATTCTTTTTCATTTTCTGAAAGCTCCTCATTTTTTGTGACTAATGAAAAAAAACAATCCTTTCTATTTTTTCCAACAGGATTAACCAGAGTATTATTATACATTCCAGCATAAAATTTAAATACAATTCTCTGTCTTTCTGGTAATATTAAATTATTATATGACATTATGTAAAAATACAAGATATAAAATTGAATTGGTGTTTTAATGAATATGATGGGGGGATTTTTTTTTTTTTTAATATAATAGTTGCGTTATTTCCTTAACATTATATATAAAAATATGTGTTCAGATTTTTGTTATAATATTTTTTTCTTGCCCAAATTTGAAATGTTTGGTTTCACGGGAAATATTAATGACTTGAAACGTTAATTCAGCGCAGTTACGGTAACAAATCACGAATCTTCTAGACATTTTTGTTGCCCAACTTTAGTAAACTGAGTTGTTGAGGATGAGATCAAAATAAATGGATAAAATTTTGTAGAGTCGTTTTTTCTTTTGCTGCAACTCGTATATAGTCAATAAATTATTCATAATATGTTCACGTGACCATAAATGAGATGATCGACAATTCTTTATAGTGAACGCTCTCTATAACGAACCAAAATTCTCAGTCCAGGGGGTTCGTTATAGAGAGCTTTGACTGTATCATCATGATTATCATATATTTACGTGTGTTATTAACTCTATTATTACTATTATATTTTTAGTTTATTGAAAGATAATATAACAGTTGATTTATAATAAGCAGACTAGGGGTTGGCATCGTTAACTGTTTAACCGCGGTTAATCGGTTAACAGTTAACCAGTTAAGATATTCTTTTAGCCGGCTAACCATCATTTAATATTAATTTTTTTTTATATATGATTATTATTACAGTCAAACCTCGTCACAGCGGACCTCGCCAGCGGATTTCTTATAACGGATTTAAGTATTGGCCCCTTTTTTCATTATTAATATTAATATTAATTAAGTGTTTGTCATAACAGATTTTATTAATAAATTTGTTCTACAATGTTAACGGGTTTTTGATAGGGTCTTTCTATATGTACTAATCTCATCACAACAGATTCACGCAACATATAAATTTATGAAATTTG